GAGCCCCTAGGTTTCTAGGAATAGGACAACTGACACATGAGCTGGATAAAGGTGTGTGTTCTATACCACTAAGAGTTTTTGGTTGTACATCAAAAAATACTATTGTGGCAACTGGTAACTAATAAATCCCAAACCGCATGCAAAGCTTGTGCTGGGCACTAGAAATCCCAGGGTGATCCTGTCCCACCACTGTGCAGTGCGGTGTGGAAACAGAGAAACCAAGAGAATACAGCTTGGGGTGACAATTAATGATAATCGAAGCAAAAAGTGCTCAGAGAACATAAAAAAGGAGCACTTTACTCAGACTGGGTAGATCTGGGGGGAGAAGGATCTGAAAAATTTGCCTACAATAACTGAAGCATGAATTAGGATCTAAGGAATAAAGAGAATATAACCAATTAGGTTGGTAGGGAAGGACAAGGATGGAAAAAACAGCCAAGCAGGCATGGGAGAAGGAGATGCACCAGGTATTTGCGATACAGCTCGAGACTGACAACTAACCTGGTTGGCTGGAGTTTTCAGTTTGAGAGCAAGGGGCTAAAAAAAGAAGCCAGACTATAATGTGTTTTGGAAGCTTGCTAAGGAGCTAGGTTCTCATCTTAATGCAAAGGGGAAGAGGTAATTTTGGGGGATTTTAAGTCATCTTGGTAGCAGCATAGAGAACAATAGGACAACATTAGGAAAAAGAAAAGATGGTCACTGCAAAACTCTGGACAGAGATGACACTGGTCTGAACCAGGAGAGCAGCAAAGGAAACATAAGATACAGGAGGTAGAAGGGGCTGCAGTTAAGAGGTGCTGGGAGACAGAGAATAAAGGTCTCGGACTTAACACAATTCCAGCCACATAAGAAATCATCAGTGAATTCTTTATTAAATAAAAAGTTGATGTGTTACAGCTGAGCGTCCATATCATATGATCTTGTGTTGATGTGTGGTGAAACTGGCTAAAACAGGAATCATAATCATAAGGTGAAAAAACGTTAAAATTAAGAATGAGCATTTTTTATATTATTTTTTAAACTTCCTTTATCTGTCATTTGGCATAAATGCCCAGAGAATTGTTAATTGCATCCAACATACTATTTCAAAATACATAGTCTAGAAATGAGCTTCTAGAAACTTCTCTACAGACTTATTTCACTTATCAAATTTTTCCTTCTTTATAACAACAATAATCAGAAGAATTAAGCAATTTAAATTAAATAAAGATGGCATGATCTCTTTGTAAATCTATTTTAAAATTATGTCTCCAATTGAGGGCCATAGAAACATAATTTCCTTGACTATGCTGAAAGTCCTTCTAAATTCTGAATTTTTAAAATTAACCATGTATTCTAGTAATGTTAATATATACTATCTATGAAGCTTTTCTAGGGACTTAGTATATTGTCTGCTGCTTTCCTTTATATTAAAAAGAAAAATTACGGGAATGGTCCTGTTAGTCAGACGTTCATAAAGCGCAGAGTCTTACCTAAATTCAGCCAGTAGGTGGTGAAGCCAGGAATTAAGCTCAGGTTTCTCTGATTCCAGTTTTTTTTTTCTCCTAACAACTATTCTAAATTGTAGATGCTATGCTCTCGTAAGTATTAAGTAATTTAATTAGATATTCGATACCATTTACGTGTCCTTTTAATATGTGGAAGAGTTTTTTTTATAAAACCATAAAAGAGGACATCCATCACCTTTGACACCATCTTTTTTTGGAAGGACAGACTATATTAGTACACAAAGTGGCAAAGTCAGAGATTTCAGGGAGACCAAGCCCAGGGAGAGGATTCGTAGAAATCAGAAAACCTGAATCATGGGTAGGACAGAGACAAGGTCATTTATCACTATTTTGTAAAACATGCAACTCAATTTCAAAATACATGGATTCTCAAAAGAGACCATAACACCTGCAGGCTCTGAGGCATTTTTGAGCGGGAGATATATATGTATAAATTCTCCTCATCCTTACACTTCAAGGAGAAAAATGTGTGCTTGCTGCTTGGTCAAATGTTGTATAGTGTTCAGTCCTGGGGTGAGAGTTCATTTCTCCTACACCAAGTTCCCAGATTCTAAGGAGGTTTTGACAACTCCTTCAGTGTTTTTCAACATGATCCCTGGGCCCTCAGCTATTTTATTATCTTAATGAAATTAAGAACATGGCGATGCGAGACAGTTTTCTATGGTTTACGTGGAATAACACTGCAGAACCACCACTTGCTTAATTTTGAGGTATTTTGCCCGCATGGCTTTACATTTACCCCTGAGAAGAATGCATGTGGAGTGTAATGGATACAGAAGAAAAGAAAGAACTCTTAAAGACAATATAAACAGAAGCCCAATGAACAAAGTCAAGCATGTTCTTTGGAAAAGGGATTATTTAATGTTATAGAATGGCTATGTAACTCTGTGATTTTGCAATGCTGACGACTTAGCCCCTTTTTAAGGCCAGGTGTCTTGAGCCAGCCCTTCTTTCTTGTAGTAACAAAACTATACCATCCTTTAAAATAATTTTCTGGAACTAAGCATTCCAGAACAATTCACTAACAGCAGGGTCTTGTTAAATTAGCAAAAACAAGATGGAAATTCCTTTAGAAATCTGCCTTACGGATGCTTCCTAGTGTGTTTGTATGCATTGCTGTTAATTAAGAAATAAAAGAATGGTATCAAATGTAAATAGACTATACACAGTAGTCCCTGGCTCATTACTGAGTTTCAAAATGAGCATGCAAAAACTTCGATTCCAGATTGCTAGGAAATTTTTTTTTTCATCTCACATCCAAGGCTTGTGTAAGTATACAGTTTAGCCAAAATATGAAGTGAAATTAGTATTATTTAAGGCTATGCTATAATAACTAAAGAAAAATCAACATTTAATGTATCCTTTTCACTTCTAACTCCCTTTTTTCTAATTTCAACTATAAGAATTCAGCATGTGATAAAGTTATCAACTGTCACTTAGTGATCATCGCTGAATGGTTTTTATTGTGACTAGTACATTGTAGGCTTCAATTCTGGAGAAAGTCTGCTGTTGCAACCAGAATTGTTTCATGTCAGTTTTTTTCTGGGTGCTGGAGGCACTTGTATTTGAGAGAGAAAAATAAGAGATGAAAGACTATGACGACAATGCAGTACCAAGGATAAATGACACTATGGAAAGCAAATAACCTAAAAAAAAAAAAAGAACAGAAAAGTGGAAAGACTGGAAAAACAAAAAAGAAGAAAATAAAGATGAGGAAAAAAAAAAGGATTTTTTTTTCATATTGATTTTCCAGAGCAAAACTTTGCTTGTAATACAGAAGAGCTTTGAAACTTAAGATATTTGACTCTTATGGAGAATAAAAATGAAAATGGAAATATTTGTGAAACAGAAATCATCACTTCCGGTATCAACTCACTTGCATTAGGTACTTGAGTTATTTTACAAACTCAACTTCAAGTCCCTTGGACACTATAATAATTTCAATGCATCATGTATTCACCCCCTCAAAGTTATTGACACTGATAATGCACATAAGCATTTTCAACAGCTGGTTTCTTTTTCTTTTCATAACAACAACAAAAAAAGAAATGCAATATCTATTAATTCTAAATAACTCATTTGTGGAAAATTAATCAACTGCAATTAATATAGCCAAATAGCACCACGGTGATCACAATGCTCTGCTCATATTTGGATATTCAGTAAATTTGATTTAATAATAATGATTTTCCAGTTAAATGTAAAATATACACCCAGGCTTTAAACTAGCTATATGAAATACTCGTTTTGAAAAGAGTTACATTTTAAGAATTACATAGATTTGATGAGCAATCAAACTTTTCTCATGCTTTGGATATTTGGTATCCTCCTGAACTTTAAAAAGAGAGCTGATTTGGTTTTGTAAGAATTCTTATAAAGAAAATTACATAATTATTTGGCAAAATTGCTGTCACATAAAACCCAGTTCTGTGGTTGTTGATTTAGTCTTCCGTATCTCCAGATAAACTATAATCTCCTTGACAGTGACAACTAGATCTTATTTTCTCTACAACACCCAACATGTAGTGCAGTTTCTGGTACTTAATAGGCCCTTGATGAATATTTGATGAAAGAATTTATTTTTGCTTGACTCAAACATCTTTAAAAAAGAAAAAAAATCTACCACCTCTACTGTACATTTGGACTGCTAATTTCATTTGCGTGAACAGTGAAGGATAGACCAGTGCTTAGAAATTTGCCCAACCTACAAAGAATGTAAAAATGCTTGGTTAAATCTGAAAGTTATTAAGAAGTGATATTGACTCCCTGAAGTGAAATTTTCCATTCTACTCAGGCCCAGGGAGACCAGCTGGAGTTAGAAAAGATGATTAATAAAGAAAAGCCAAGTTCTGTATGGCTGGAACCTGATACAAGCACATTTCCCATCTAAATGCTCCACAGGACCACCGCTCTGGAGACCACTGGGCGTTCAATGGCATAGTCCATTTTCAGATTCTGTGCCTACCAGAATACTAGATTAACGGGCATACAGGTAACAAGAATTGTTTTTCGTTGTTTCTGTCCGCTTTTATTTCCCTTCTTTTTCTGTAGGCTTTTGAACAAGAAACCCTTGTCTCATCTTAACAGAAATAAATGTATGTATGGGAAATATTCCTACATACAGTCAGTCTATTCTTTTGGAATAGTCAGACCTTGTAGAGTCTGAATCTACCGCTATTCAATTTTTAATAAGTATATTAATTTTTTTTTTACATTCAAAGATAAAATCTTGTGGGCGGAAAACTGTTATCTTTGGGCAGATTTTCCTCCAAACAAAAATGGCGTATTTGCCCGGCCAAACTCCTTGGCATTTGCAAAGCTTTGATGGCCATATATTTAGTTGAACACCTCTGCAGCCCCTGAGGTGTACGCTATTGATTATTCTACACAAATAACAGTGTTGCTACAACCTTACATTCACTAATAGGAAAAAGGCTTATTTGTTTGTACTCCTTGATTTATACATAAATCTGAGATAAGAGTAGGACTTACCTTGAAAAAAGTCATGGTCGCCCCGTCCTCCACGGCCCCGTACTCAATCTTGGTTTGCTTGGCTAGATCATCCGCAGAGTCAATGGGGGATTCCATGCGCTCCACTGTCAGAAAGGCGGCTAGGTTAGCAGTGTACGAAGAAATGATGATAAGTGTGAAAAACCACCAAATGCCTCCCACTATCCTGGTGGAGAGCGCTTTGGGCATGAGCTCAGAACCTAACAGAGAGTGGGGGGAAAAGGTGAAACGAATACAGAGAATTTGATCAGCAGTGAAGTACTTTCGGTCAGACGGGCAGAATGGAAGCACTTGGTCATAACAGCTTAAATCACAGATTTACATACGGCTTTGGGAAGCAAGCAACAACGGTGGGAGAACAGAGGCTGATTCAGATAACAGACACTCTCTTGGGGCATTTGTGTTTACGTACAGGGACAGGAGACGCAAGTTCTACCGGAGACAGGCCAAGGCACTCATTAAATACTAATGAGTGAGTAATCTTTGTAAAAACAGCAATGGAAGGGAGGAAAAAAATCTCTCTATAGACCACATACATATTTCCATATTCTTGTTAGTGATGTAGGTTTTAGAAGAAATGATTTAACATGTTCAAATCCATTCCTTAACAAGCTTTATATCAAGTTTAATTTTTCATGTGCATGAAACAAAAATTCTATCTGGCCATTTAAAAAAGTAATGTATAAAAATAATTTCAGTTACCCACATGCATTCAGATGTGGGGTTTTTAGTTCAGTTTTATTTTATAAAGATAAGGTAATAAATTATTTCCTAATGTACAAACAGAAGTCTCCGATCACTATAGTTAGCTTTTATGAGGGAAATCAGAATCAGAATTAAGTTAAACTGTCCCAAATTTATTTTTACACATATAAAATATTTCATAAATATATTATAATACATGACTGGAGTTGCCTGCACATGGTATTAATAAGAGAATGAGATCTGATAATTCTATTTTACTTCAGACTATTATAAATTTTCATTAACTTAGAGTATAAAATAAAATCCTAACAATTGTAAAATCAAATCTTACAGTGTCACCACATTATTTACATTATATGTTATTTAGAGCCAATGATGAAATGAATATATATCAGCTTGTGATTTTTTTAATAGAAAAGTATACTACATGTATGGCTGTATTTAATATATTACTGTTCACTTTTAATCATTTTGAATCTATAATCAAGAGACCATTGGCTACAAATTACTTGATTTTTAAGTCAGGTTTGAGTAAAATGGAGCCAAGATGGACTCCATTTGTTGATGTGTTGTGTAGTCATATCTTAAATACAATCGCTGATGCAGTAAGGTAAAGCATCTTTGGATAGAATGAAAAATACAACAAATCATTCCTGTTAACATTGAAAAGCAGAATCATGACTGCAATACATCAGAACAGCCCATCTTACACTACTACAGTTCATCTTACCCTTGCCATTTCAAACACACACACACAATTTTAGACAGACTTGGACATGACAGCCAACTCCAGTTCCAGACTCTGCCCACCCCTCTGTAAGGAAGAGAACAGAAAAGTACCTTTCTGATGTAGTTGCTCCTAGGCCCTGTCAGACACACACTTGGACACCGAAACACTACAGTATTCCCAAGATGATCTCCAGCTCTGGTTGCCCAGTCTACATTTTTTTTTTTTTTGAACACCACTAATAAAGTCAAACAAGACTGGGAAAGAAAAGGACAGTGGAGACATTCGACAAAAATGGCCCAATTACCACAAGTTCATATCTTACCCAAGGACTTAAAGCGAGTACTTCCTAGTCCTATGAATCAGAGCCTGGTTAGGGGCTGACTGTCATGTACTCAAGGTAACGTCATGTCCAGCACTATATCCCACTAATTCCTGGGGAGCTGGGCATCAGCCAGCATAGTATGGGTTCCTCTTTCATGTATCCACCAGCACTAAGTAGTTGTTTGGCAAAGCAAATGTATATTTGAACTATTCATTGCTTGGATCATCTGTCACCATTTTCAGAGAAATCTGATAAAGCCTTATTTCTAATTGCTAGGTTATAGATATCAGTTTTGTCTTATGAGTATACAAACTCTCAAACACCTCCATGGGAAATATGCTAGGTGGAAAAAAAGAAGAATGTATTTTCCAAAGTGGTATGAAAAATGACTTGAAAAAATCTTTGTTGTGTTTGGACTTTTATTATGAAGATAATTTACTCCACACTTGTTAGGGTTAGTTATTAGTATGGGACTCATAATTCACCTGGTTGAACGGAATTACCCATTGCTACTTGGAAGGGAATTTTGTCTCCTATGACAGGTTTTTATTCACTTTTAATATTTTGAAAGATCTCCAATATTGTCTCCCAAATGTAAACCTAAGGAGAAAAAGAACATTGGACCCAAAATGTAGGAAAGGGAAACTACAACTACTCACTGATCATTTTTTATTTAGAAAGAAATATCACAAACTCAGATAAGTTCATGTAGGAATTCTCTGAATGTTCAGGTGTTAGGTTTAAATATCTCTCTATATAGATGCTCATATTTTTAGAAAGGAAAAATTTATTGCATCTCAGTAGGCCTTGTTTATAACATGTATTTGTTAAGTTAATATTTTTCTTTTGACATGTAGTTATTTATTCTCACTTTAGGAAGTAGTTTATGAATGAAACAGTAATGAATTAATGGATTTATGCATAATAAAACATACAAGAACAAAGTATCTGTTTTTATAAACAACATTTTATAACTGAACAATACATTTTCACTTCTTCAGATATGTAATGCAATTACAAATGAATTTCTTCAAAGTGATGATAAATACACCACTAGAATTTAAGGTAAGCCCTTATGATAGGTGTGGTAACTCCTAGGAAGGAATACATTTTTTTCCTTAATTTATTGATTGTCAGTTGTTCAAATTTGGGAGATTTTGCTTTAATTACTAATTTTAAAATTTTAAAATATTACATTTTAAAATGCATAAAATAGTCTTAGATCTTGGCTAATGAAATATTTTATTTTGAGTAGTAGGTTTGAAATACTAATTTAGTGAACTTTATGCAAAAATTAAAATACTGATAAGAGAAACCATTGCAGCAAAAAATAAAAACAAATTCAGATTGGAAGAACTGGGACTAAAATAATGAATTCATAGTTATATATAAAGCATTAAGACATGTTGCATGTATTATATAAATTTCTAAGAAATACAGTCTTTACTTGTAACATTAAAATCATGTTTTAAATAATTATGACAGTATTTTTGCATGCACTTTTGAGCATGCAATATTTTATATCCTTATATGCTATCAGATGCAACTAATATTTTACTCAAAAAGGAAACTCTAAATCGCTAAATATTTTAATTTTGCAAATTTATATGCAGTAGATTTACTAATCATGCAATACAAATGCATCTAATCATCAATAATTAATACAAAAGAGAACTTTTTACATCAAAATGAGACAGGAAACAGGAATATTATACTGTCTTCTTGTCTCATGGAGATGTAATCTTAGTATTTTAAATGCAGCTTCTAGCTAATGGATCAGGTCAGCTTGGTTATCTATGAAATAATGTACCTACTGTGGGTTAAGAAAAAAGATTAGATGAGTCTACTGTATGTGCATTTGCAGAAGCTAAGTATAATTATTTTCTCAGAATCTCCCTTGGATGGGATTTGAGAATGCCTAAATGCATTAGGTAGATGAGGAAGCTGGATTATGGTTACATGCACAGAGGCGCCCATGCAAGCGACTTGTGCCAGCAAGAGCTGTCACCCCCAGCAAAGAGTGGGACATGGTACCCAAGGGAAATAGCAGGCTGAGTCGTATACCTTGCTGCATGAGAGCTCCAACTCCAAACCAGAAACTATTTAGCAAGGTAAAATTGTTTTCCACCACGTCTGAGTCGGGGTTGCAAGGGTGTGGATTATACCACTCATAGGGACTAAACCTGTGGTAATTGACAGAAGAAAAGAATATATTTAAATGGCAGTGAGAAGAAACTCTATCCAGCATTGCTGCAAAAGAAACAGAAAGACAGGTAAGATTAAGTAGAAACCAGAAATAAACATTTTTATGGCACAGTTTCATATGCATGATAGCAAGTGTTAAGTTTTAAAGATCCTTGTCCTTATCAGCTAACTTCCATACTAAGATGATAAATGGCATTTCTTTGCTGTGTACCTCCTGTGATAAGAAAATCTGTATATCAGTACCAAGAATATTTTTTTAATACTTAGGCTTTTTCATGTACAGCATTGAAACAAACAAACATTAAACAGTCTAGAAAATGATTAAAGAAGAAAGCAAACTTAGTTATGAAATAAACACTTGTAAAACTGGAAAAACTGGTAGAGAGAGAAGAAACAATACAAAATCAGATTAAGAAATTTTATGATATAATAGGAACTACTAAAGTGACAGAACAAAAGAATCAGTGGATAATTATATATCTAGGAAAATACTACTATGGATTTACATCCTTACGAGCAATAAACAGAAAACAAAATAAAAGTGAACTGCATTCTAATATGTGCTTTGAACATCATTATACATTTTAAAGAGTACGACAATGTGATGTCAAAGCAATGTTAGAAGCAGAAGCATGTAGTGAGGCTGATTGGTTTCCTTTTACCATGTGATTTCAAAGCTTTAATTCATTTGAATCACTGCTTTAAGCAAAAGAAAATCAATCTAATTTTTGAGGCCAGCTCTAGATGATTTTAGAGATACTAATAACATCTCTCAAATAATCCAAATTGAGGACTTTTTAAATTGTCAACTGTATACATAAATTATACTAATTATAATCCAGATATATTTATCATTAATGGTACAGTTCAAAAATTTTACCTCAGTAATTAAAAATACTATTCTAATTACTAAACTAACAAAATATTTCTCCATATATCTCAAATTTTAAAGCCACTCTTATAAACCAAATTAGTGTATGTGTACTTTATGAAAGCATTAAAAAAATGTTACATTCAATCAAAATTAGTTGAATAATGTATCTGTCACTTCAGAGAGCACAATTTTCTTCACAATAATCTTTCTGACATACTGAAATTCTGAAGATCAAATAAACCATTTTCATCTCTCTAATGCAATTTTAGAACACCCCTGATTTAATAGCCCTGTCCTTGACAAACAAAGAAATGTTTTGAGTCTCTAAGTTAAAATGACACATTGAACAGAAAGGTTGATTGGATAGTAATTAAACATTCTGATCTTATTTGTTGTATCTGACTAAAGTAGAGCTAGCTTTGGTTGTAGACATTTTATTTTGATTTAAATTCCCTTATTACTTTATCCTACTGAAATTGGTTATATACATATTTTAAAGTATTTCCAAGTATCAAGACGTTGGCCATTAATGTTTATACAAAAATGTTTTCTTTTAAAATACTACCAATTGTAGTTAGCTATCTAAACAACTCATTACTCATCAGAGGCAATTCAGTTCATATAGCTGGATTCCCAAGCTGTACACCCTTGGGCAAGTTATATAGCCTCTCTGTGCTGCTCCCTATCCGAAAAAGAACGACAATAGAAAGACCTACCTCCTAAGGGTGTTGTAAGGATTGTATGAATTAACACAACACTAGCAGACAGCGATTACTCAACAGTTTGACACATTATATTATTTAAATTACTGTTAAATGTTGAGACTTTGTAGATGCATATTCAATCTCCTATTTTGATTTCTTGATAATTCAACTCTTCCTATCCCTGTGTTTTAACTATAAACATAAAGCTGGTCTGTTAAGATCTGGTTTTAGTTTTTGCACACAACAAATCCTACAAACATAGGCACAGATAGCAAGAAAATGAGATTTGGTTGATCAAGATCACTTGTTTGCACCCGAAGTCCATGAGTCATAGTTTTATGGAGGTGCTTTGAGGGGTTCCATGAAAAGAGGGGAGAGAGAGGTGGTGACAGGGGTTGGATAGATGGAAGTCAGTGTATGCGAGGTTCTGCTCTCCATTCCCAAACCCTATAATATGTTATATGTATAATCCTGAGACGGAAGGAAAGGCGGAAAAGGAAGGGAGAAGGAGAGTGTGGGACATGGAGGGTCAGCTTGGTTATCTATGAAATAAGGTACCAGCCATGAACTGCAGGGCTCTGAGCAGGGAAGTAAGAGAAATACGTGCTTTCTGATTCCCAGCACTGTGCTTTTTGTCTGTCTTTGTTAGGGAAGCTTCATCAGTACTGGAACGATTTAGGTAGCTCTTCTCTTCACATGTGTAGCACTAAGAGCTTCAAGTCATACTTACTATAACCTGGCTTCTTTACTATAAATTAAACACATGCCTCCTCTCCTCTGTTAGATTGTAAATGAATATATGCAAATACAGTTTCTGATTTATCTAGCCTCTCTTACAATTTCTAACACAAGGTTTTAAACCTGGTGGGCATTTAAAGCCTATTTGAATTACTCCCATGTTCCTACTTTTCTCTTCTCTTCATTCAATTCCTGGCCAAACATCTAAAATGATAATCTTCTTATTTTTCTACACCTAATTCCTCCTTAACCTTAACCTTCCATCTCTGTAAAAATCTTGTTTTTGAATCCATTGTCTTTTCCTTATGTCTATCTTTTAACCATTTTGCAGCTACCAATGAAATTATTATTGAACACTGGCCCTTTGGTATCTTCTAACTTCTAAGACATGCACTCTTGTTTCTCTCTGACAAACTAACAGATCTCTTTTGGCCAAGTCTTGACTCTCAGATCTAGAGGGTATTATGCTCAGTGAAATAAACCAAGTGGAGAAAGACAAGTATCAAATGAGTTCAATCATCTGTGGAGCATAAGAACAAAGAAAAAAACTGAAGGAACAAAACAGCAGCAGACTCACAAAACCCAAGAGTGGACTAACAGTTACCAAAGGAAAAGGGAGGGATAGGGGGAAAAAGGGACATTACAATTAGCACACATAATATAGCAGGGGGGGCACAGGGAAGGCAGTACAGCACAGGGAAGACAAGTGGTGACTCCATAGCTTCTTATTACATTGATGGACAGTGACTGTAATGGGGTGTGTGGGAGGGACTTGATAATCGGGGGAATCTAGTAACCACAATGTTGCTCATGTGATTGTGTATTAATGATACCAAAATAAATAAATAAATAATAAAACAAATTTTAAAAAAGACTTAATACACTCATGGCTTTAACCTCTGTGCTGCTCATTATAAAACCCACTTAATATACTGCCATAAATTCTCACTCCAAGTACTTCCATCCATCTTTGCATACGTCTACTTAGCTACCTCACCATTAGCTCATACTTAAAATGCTTAAAACTGAATGACTCTCCAATACTAGGTCTCTTTCTCCATTTCTAAAATAATATGACATTTCTCTGAATTCCTGAGACTTAAATTTATTTCCATTTTCTTTTACTTTCCTTCCTTAAATACAAACAAATATGACATGCCTGAGCCATGCAGACTTCTGTTTTGTGACACTTCTTTGTTGTATCCCATCAACTTCCACTGCACTTTTACCTCAGTACTGAATCATGGACTTTCAAAATTACTTCCTACTCGGTTCCCCTTTTCTCCATTTGGTATTGCAAACTATCTTCAAATTAAGTTTTGCAACATGCAAATTCTCTTCTCTAGAACCCATCCATTTTATTAACTACTGAATCAGGTTTAACATTGTATGCCTCTGAATTTCAACATTCTAGGCGACTCAGTATTTCTTACCTTATTTAAACTACCATGTAGTCTGGCCAACCGTCTGCCTTTTTTAATGCTGTTCCTACTAAGTGAAAAGTCTTTTTCTCTTCAGTTGACTCAGATAGCTTCTATCCCATTTCTTTTTGAAATTCCACAGTGTTTACATTTCCCCCAAAGCTTGTTTCAAATGTCTATATATCTTACCTACTGCCTTGTGCTTACTGGTGGTGTTCCAAATATGCTTTGGTATTTCAAGTATTAGTATTCTCAAAGTTTTATGAGACCCTTGAGAGATGGGCTTTTTATCATTATCATTATTATTAATATATTTGTATTACTTCAGTGTCTAAAAGTGGCATAACAGAATGATTACAGGTTTGAGGACTAGAGGACTTGAGTTGTAGCCACATACATATTTTGTACTTGGTGAAAGATAGCTAAATCTCTCTGAGCTGAAGATTCCATCCCTAAGGAAGGGTGGGGTGGGGTTAGAAAAACTAAGCAGGAGAAGTAATATATGCAAAGCATTTTGCAAACAATACAGGGCTAAATAAATGTTAGCAAAAAGTATATAATCCTTGTTTAAAGATTTCTTACTCTGGAGCCTTTTATCAAGAAAATCATTTAGAAAATATATGAAATAATCTACTGCTTATTGAGAAAATCCTTTTTTACCATATTATGTAAATGTTAATTCAACATTTATTTGAACATTTTATCTTATCAGAGGTAAACTGCATCACAACTAATGGAGAGTACACGTGATTTTTATATACTATTTTGGGGCAATAACTGTATAACATCACACATTTGGATACTTGCTGATTCCACAAGCTCGAATGACCCAAGTTTCAAGATTTAAATTCAGTATGGGTTGAAATCTTCCTCAATACATAATAATCCTCAACTTTCATTTGATTAGAAGCTTAAAGCAAATCTGGTTTGAAAATTTACCAGTGGTAACGATGCTACTTTGAATTTCGTGCTCTGCCTTACTCTGTTTAATTACTATGGTTATCACAGGTGACAATTACTTAGTTAACATAACATGACTTGGTTGTTAACTGATCTATTTCTAGATTACAATTGAGTAGATCTACAATTAACCTACCTCTGCTCAAACTGGTTGGAATCTGGAAAATGAGTAGCTTTCTAACTGAATTTGACTTAAGCAAAATAAACACAACTATTTCCAAAAATCAAGAATGAATGAACATGCCAGTAAGAAAATCACAAAGTTTTTAGCATTATACACT